CGCGGACGCCACAGCCCCGACGTGGGCGCTGGGGGGTCCCCCGGCATGAGGCGAAGCCCCCTCCCCGCCGTGCGGGCTCCCTCCGGCGCTACTGCGTGCGCCGGGGGTGGAGGCCGGGGTAGCGGGACCCCACTTACACGCGACACCGCTCAGGTTGGGGTCGAGCGAGGCGGCGGACGTGGAGACAGGCACCTCGGAGTACTTCTTGTTGGGGTCGTACTCGTGAGAGGCGGACCCCCACATGAGTACGGTCTGGCGGGTCGTGTTGGCGTACGTTTCACTCTCCTTGCTTTCCTCTTTGTGCGTGACGGTGGTGGTAGCGGTGGAGCTGGCGGTAGTGGTGATTCCCGGCGTGGCGGCTAGCGCCCCTAACGACGCTAGAGCCGATGGGTCGTCCCGCCGCACTTCCGCTGCACGAAGTTCGCTGTACTTGTGTTCCAGCGACGGTAAGACTGTGTTGGTGCCGTAGACGGCGGTGTAAGCATCTGTCGGCTTGTACTGGTATTTCGACGCGTCAAGCTGCGTCGTGCAGTAGAGCTTCTGGTCGGCCGCTGTTTTGGTAAGCCCCGTCGTGTCGTAGCTGAGGCAGGAGCGCGCGGGATCCACGTAACCGTTGCTGACGTAGCCGTGCGTCATGTAGTCGGGATAGTACGAGCCTAGTTGTCGGTAATGGAACAGGTTGTCGGTAGGGAGATAACTGGCCGGATAGAGGGATTGCAAGTTACCCAGATTCTGTTGCATATAGATGCCGTTATCCGCAGTGTAGGCCGACGCACCGTATACGTTGTTGTAGTTGTTGTAGGCTGTGTCGGAGAGGTTGGTGTAGCTTCTCTTGGTGCGGCAGGTGGTGAGGAAGTCCCGTAGCTGCGTCTTGTACTTGCGGCTCATGCGGGAGGCGTAGAGCTGCGGCAGCTCGGAGTCGCAGAGGTAGGACTGTGTGAGGCCAGGGTCCAGGTACGACACCTTGAAATCCATCGTCCGCTTCCCCAGCAGGTCACGACCCTCCTCCTCCCTGTAACACAACACACAAGTGAAAAATAGCATGGTAATAACCACTTGATATAAACATAAGAAGGAAGGAGCACTGCAGTAAGGTCTACTGGCCCATACTAGGCAGGTCCAGGTCACACCAACATTTGAGAAGGAAGGAAGGAGCACTGCAGCCTACCTACTGGCTCATGGTAAGACACATATGCAACAGTCAGGTATCTTTATTTCGAAACGTTTCGCCTACACAGTAGGCTTCTTCAGTCGAGTACAGAAAAGTTGATAGAAGCAGAAGATACTTGAAGACGATGTAATCAGTCCATCACCCTTAAAGTTTTGAGGTGGTCAGTCCCTCAGTATGGAGAAGAGCATTGTTCCGTTGTTGAACAATATGAAGTTGAAGTACAGGTGGAGCCTTTAATGTGCCAGGGGGTGGGGACGGGGTTTGGGTTTGGGGGGCAGGTCCCTCTCAAACCCACCCGTCTAAATAGTAGAGGTCGAATTTGTGGTCGTACCAAGATCCCCTTGTTTTTGCGTGTCTGACGAATGAACTTTTAAAATGGTAAAAAATTCCGACAGTTTTGTTAGGTAAGACCATATGCAACAGCGGGTTTCTTTTTTTCGAAACGTTTGCCTACCTTAGGCTTCTTCAGTCGAGTACAGAAAAGTGATAGAAGCAAAGATATTTAAAAGACGATGTAATCTTTTCCATCACCCTTTAAATTTTTGAGGGGGGTCAGCCCTCAGTTGGAAAAGAGCATTTTTTCCGTTGTCTGAAACAATATAAATTTAAAGTGACAGGATGGGCCTTTATTAGTCCCAGGGGTGAGACGGAGGTTGGTTTGGGGGGGCAGGTCCCCCCAAAACCCCAGCCGTTCTCAATAGTAGAGGTGAGTTGATGGTCTGTACCAAATACCCTTGTGTTGCAGGGGTCTGGCCCCCAAATAAACATTAAATGGTAAAAATCCGAAAGATTGTTAGGAAGACACAATGCAACAGTCGGTTCTTTTTTTAAAAAAAAAACGTTTCGCCTACCAGAGGCTTCTTCACGAGTACAGAAAAGTTGTAGAAGCAGAAGTACTTGAAGACGTGTAATCAGTCCATCCCCCTTAAAATTTTTGAGGGGTCGTCCCTCAGTATGGAGAAGAGATTTTTCCCTTGTCAAAACAATATGAAGTTGAAGTGGGGATGGAGTTTTATATGTGCCGGGGGTGGACGGAGGGGGGTTTTGGGGAGGGCGGTCCCCCAAAACCCAGCCGTTCTCAAAGTAGAGGTCGAAGTTGAGGGTCGTACCAAGATACCTTGTTTGCGTGTCGACAAAATGAACTTTTTGTAAAAAATACCGACAATTGTTAGGAAAGACCATATGCAACAGTCGGTATCTTTATTCAAAACTTTTTGCCTACAAGTAGGCTTCTTCATCGGTACAGAAAGTTAAAAGAGGCAGAAGATACTTAAGAGATGTAATCAGCCCAAATTCCCTTAAAAGTTTTGAGGTGGTCAGCCCCTCATAGGAGAAGAGCATTGTTCGTTGTCTGAAACAATTGAAGTTGAAGTGACGGATGGACCCTTTATATAGTGCCGGGAGGTGAGACGGGGTTTGGGTTTTGGGGAGGGCGGTCCCTCTAAAACCCCAGCCGTTTAAATAGTAGAGGTCGAATTTGAGGTCTTCCCAAAGATCCTTGTGTTGCAGTTCTGACAGAAGAACATTAAAAGGGTATAAAAACCGAAGATTGTTAGGTAAACACATATGAACGTCTTTCTTGAAAACCCTGGGTTTGAGGGGCCCTGCCCCCAAACCCCAACCCCCGTCTCACCCCCGGCACTTTTTAAAAGGCTCCACCCTGTCACTTAACTTCTATTGTTTCAGACAACGGAACAATGTTTTCCCCATCGAGGGCTGACCCCTAAAAATTTTAAAGGGGGTGATGGATGTTCATCGTCTTCAAGATCTTTGCTTCTATAAAACTTTTCTGTACTCGAGAAAAAGCCTCTGTGTAGGCGAAACGTTTCAAAATAAAGCCCCGATTTTGGCATTGGTCTAACCTAAAAATCTGTCGGTATTTTATACCATTTTAAGGTTATTTGTCAAAACACTGAAACACAAGGGATCTTGGTACGACCACAACTTCGACCTCTACTATGAGAAGGGGCGGGTTTGAGGGGGACCTGCCCCCCCAAACCAACCTCCGTCTCACCCCTGGCACTTAAAAGGCTCCATCCGTCATTTAACCATTTTGTTTCAGACAACGGAAAAATGCTCTTCTCCATATGGGGGACGACCACCTAAAAAATTTTTAAGGGTGATGGCCCGATTACATCGTCTTCATTTTCTTCTTTTCTATCAACTTTTCGTATCGACTGAAGAACCCCACTGTGTAGGCGAAACTTTTTCGAAATAAAGATCCCTGACTGTTGCATTGTGCTTACCTAACAATCGTCGGTTTTTTATAAATTTTAATGTTCATTTGTCAGACACTGCAAACAAGGGTATCTTGGTAAGACCATCAATTCGCCCTTTACTATTGAGAAGGGCGGGGTTTTGGGGGGACCTCCCCCCCCAAACCCCCCTCCGTCTCACCCCCTGGCACTATAAAAAGGCCCCATCCTGTCACTTAAACTTCATATTTTTCGACAAGGACAATGCCTTCTCCATACTGGGGACTGACCACCTAAAAACTTTAAGGGTATGGACTGATTACCTCTTCAAGTTCTTCTGTTTCTATCAACTTTCTTACTCGACTGAAGAAGCTACTGTGTAGGCGAAACGTTTCAAAATAAAGATCCTGACTGGCATATTGTCTTCCCTAACAATCTGTGGGTATTTTATCCATTTTAAGTTCATTCTGTCGACACTGCAAAAAAGGGGGTTCTTGGTCAGACATCAACTTGACCTCTACTTTTGAGAACGGCGGGGTTGGAGGGACCTCCCCCCAAAACCCAAACCTCCGCCCCCTCCTGGAAAATTATAAAGGCCCCCATCCTGTCACTTAAAACTTCATATTGTTCAGACAACAAAACAATGCCTTCTCCATATGGGGACTGCCCCCTAAAAAACTTTAAGGGGGGGACTGATTACACGTCTTAAGATCTTTTGCTCATAAACTTTTCTGTCTCGACTGGAACCCTACTTTGTAGGCGAAACGTTTCAAAATAAAGATACCTGACTGTTGCATATGTTCTTACCTAACAATCTTCTTTTTTTTATACCATTTTAATGTTCATTCTGTCAGCACTGCAACACGGGGAAATTTTGGGACAGCCATCAACTTCGACCTCTACTATTGAGAACGGCTGGGTTTGAGAGGGCCCCTGCCCCAAAAAAACCCAAACCTCCGTCTCACCCCTGGCACTATTAAGGCTCCATCCTGTCACTTCATTTCATATTGTTTCAGACAACGGAACATGTTTCTCCTATGAGGGACGACCACCTCAAAACTTTAGGGTGAGGCTGTTTCGTCTTCAAGTTTTTTCTGCTTCTTCAACTTCTGTACTCGACTGAAGAAGCCTACTGTGTAGGCAAAACGTTCGAAAAAAGATACCTGACGTTGCATATGTGTCTTACCTAAAAATCTGTCCGGTATTTTTTCCCTTTTAATGTTCATTCTGTCAGACACTGCAAAAAAGGGTATTTTTGGTCAGACCATAATTTCACCTCAATTTGAAACGGCGGGGTTTGGGGGGACTGCCCCCCCAAACCCAAAACCCCCGTCTCACCCCCTGGCATATATAAAGGCCCCATCTGTCATTCCTTCATATTGTTTCGACAAGGGAACAAGCTCTTCTCCCTTTTACTAGGGAGACCCTCAAAATTTTTAAAGGGGTTGAGGGACGATTACATCGTCTCAAGTATCTTCTCTTCTTCACTTTTCTGTACCGACGAAGAAGCCTACTGTGTAGGCAAAAACGTTTCGAAAAAAAAAGATAACCTGACTGTTGAATTTTGGTCTTACTAACAATCTGTCGGTATTTTATACCATTTTAATGTTCATTCTGCAGACATGCAACAAAAGGGGGATCTTGGTAAGACCATCAACTTCACCTTACTATTGAGAACGGCGGGGTTTGAGGGGGACCTGCCCCCCCAAAACCAACCTCCGTCTCACCCCCTGGCACTTTTAAAAAAGGCCCCACCCTGTATTTCAATTCAATTTTTTTCAGACAACGGAACAATGCCTTTCCATCGAGGGACTGACCACCTCAAAATTTTAAGGGTATGGACTGTTTACATCGTCTTCAAGTATCTTCTGTTCATCAACTTTCTGTACTCGACTAAAAAGCCTACTTGACAAACGTTTCGAAATAAAGATACCTGACGTTGCAAAAGTTCTTACCTAAAATCTGTCGGATTTTATCCCTTTTAATTTTTCATTCGTCGGGACACTGAAACAAAAGGGTACTTGGTACAGACCACAACTTCGCCTCTATTTTGAGAACGGGGGGTTTGAAGGGCCCTGCCCCCCCAAACCCAACCTCCGTCTCACCTCCGGGCACTATAAAAAAGGCCCTCCGTCACTTCAATTTCATATTGTTTCAGACAAGGGAACAACTCTTCCCTATGGGGGGGACGACCACCTCAAAATTTTAAAGGGTGAGGACTGATTACATCGTCTTAAAGTATCTTCTGCTTTATCAATTTTTCTGTACCGACTGAAGAAACCCTCGTTGGGGGGCAAAAACGTTTCGAAAAAAAGTTTCCCTGACGTTGCATTGTGTTTACCTAACAATCGTCGGTTTTTTTTCCTTTTAATGTTCATTCTGTGACACTGAAACACAAGGGATTTTGGGGTACAGACCATCAACTTCGCCTCACTATTGAGAACGGTGGGTTTGAAGGGACCTGCCCCCCCAAAACCAAACCTCCCGTCTCACCTCCTGGCACTTTAAAAAGGCTCCATCCGCACTTCAACTTATATTGTTTCAGACAACGAAAAATGCTCTTCTCCAATGAGGGACTGACCCCCTCAAAACTTTAAGGGTGAGGGGATGATTACATCGTCTTCAAGTATCTTTGCTTCTATCAAC